AATGTTCCCTGTAGTCAGGAGTTTTCTGGTGTTCTCAGGTTTTGGGCTTAAGTCTCCTGCCTCTGGATTTCAGTTTTATTCTTCCAGTAGTCTCAAGACTTCTCCAACTATACAGCACTGATAATAAAACTTCTAGGTTAATGGTGAAAAGATTCTCCACCGTGAGGGACACCCAGAGAGGTTCACAGAGTTACATGAAGAAGAGGAGAGGGAGGAGGGAGATAGAGATGAGCAGGCAGAGAAAAAAGGGGACTCAAGAGGAGGAGACAGATCTACGCAGTTCTCTGTTCCCTAAGTGTTCTCCGATGCCCAGACACCCACAGAGATTCACAGAATTGGATTGGGAAGAGAAGGGTGAGGGAGGAAATAGAGGTGATCTGAGGGAGATAATGGAGAGTCAAAAGTGGGAGAGAATAATCAACACACTCCTGAATAAAAATAGGTACTGAATATTGGATTCCTAAATGTCCAAAATTGATATCAAATACTGAAAAACAAAGATTAAAAATCTAGAGTAGAGGTTAGACTCTTAAAAAATACAATATAAAAACAAAACCACAAAAAATTTAAGAAATATATATGAAGTTCAGTTTAAAAATAGGGCCTCTTTTTTTTTTTTGCAAGGTTATAGTGAAATGAAAATGAACATGTATATTATCAAGGGTGAAACAGATCACCAGCCCAGGTTGGATACATGAGACAAGTGCTCAGGGCTGGTGCACTGGGAAGACCCAGAGGGATCAGGTGGAGAGGGAGGTGGGAGGGGGGATCGGGATGGGGAAAACATGTAAATCCATGGCTGATTCATGTCATTGTATGGCAAAAACCACTACAATACTGTAAAGTAATTAGCCTCCAACTAATAAAAATAAATGGAAAAAAAAATTAAGGAGTAATAGAGGACTTTAGAAGAAAATAAGAGAAAAAAAGAAAATTTTTTAATAAAAAAGTAAAAATATATGAAAATGAAAGTTAAGGAGTAATAGAGGAGTAATAGGGAATTTTAAAAGAAAATAAAAGAGAAAAAAGAAAAAAAAAGTCAAAATATATCTAGGAATTTCTCTGGAGCTGTTGTGGGCAGTGTGGGTTCGGTTCAGTTTCAGATAGCTCCTTGTTCCAGCTTACACTTCTCGATATCTATAGGCCCCTTCCGATGTAGTTGGTGTTACCTACAGGTATTTTAATCTGTTTTACCGGTCACTTCTGAAGTGATTCCTTTTGTTTATTTGGCTTCTGTTTGCTGGTTTCTTCAGTGTCTAATTTCCGCCCTGACACAAGCTCGCAGAGGTGGTCTCTTGTTTAGGTTCGCTTGTTCAGTTGTGCTGCGGGAAGGGAGGGGCGCTGCAGACAAATGTCACTGGCGTGTGTGGGGAGCACTCACAGTGTTCCGGCCACACTGGGTTTGACCCCACTCACGGTGAGCGTGTGTGCTTCCCCCATCTACACTGCTCAGGCTCCAGGCTGCTCTATAGGGTGCGGGCCCTGCGTTGTGTGCGGTTCCAGTTTTTGGGTATTCCACAAAAGCAGGGACTCGGTTGGGCCTGCGTTTTGTGCCTTCCCCGCCCGAGCAGCTCAGGCAGCCAGGAGCTTGAGAGGCGCACTCTCCCTCGGTGCGGTGCGCCTTCTCCCCTTCGCGGTCCCAGCCTCAGTTTCCGCCCTCGCCAGTCGGGTGCGTGCGCCTTGTGTCTATTCTCCGGAGCTGGTCTCTAGCCGCGACCCTCCAGGCAGATGTCAACCATCTAGAATCTCAGGAAGTCTTTGGTTAGAAACTGGAAGCCTATTTGCAGTTTGGTAGGGGGTGCCCTCTCTGGGGCTGAGTTTGCCCCTTTCCCTTCCCCCCTGCCTCCTGCCTCAGGCCTGGTCCGCCGCCAGCTAGCTCTTCTCTGGGATCGCTCAGTTCTTCCTTTGTTCTGCGAATGGCCACAGTGTTTTCGGGCCAGTTCATTTTCTCTCTCTCTCTTGCTATCCCACAGTTTTAAGTTGCTATCTCATATTAGCTCCCTCGGATTACCCTCAGGGCATTCAGGCCTGGTCCTTACCCTAAGCAACAGGGCCCACTCCTCTCTGTTCCGCACTTGCTGGTGGCGGATGTGGGCGTCTGGGGTACTTTTCTGCTGTGAGTTGCTTTTAGGCATGTAATCTGTGGGTTTTATTTTTATTTTTCCTCCCAGTTAGGTTGCCCTCCGAGATTCGAAAACTTCCCCCAGACCCGCCAGTGAGAGGGTTTCCTGGTTTTTGGAAACTTCCTCTATTACGACTCCCTTCCTGGGACGGGTCTCCATCCCTAGCTCTTTTGTCTCTCTTTTTATCTTATATTTTGTCCTACCTCCTTTTGAAGACAATGGGCTGCTTTTCTGGGCACCTGATGTCCTCTGCTAGCCATCAGAAGTTGTTTTGTGAAGTTTGCTCAGCGTTCAAATATTCTTTCGATGAATTTGTAGGGGAGAAAGTGGTCTCCCCGTCCTGTTCCTCCGCCATCTTAGCTCCTCCTCTAGCAAGCGTTGTTTAATCTATATACAAATAACCTATTGGAAATGAATGAGACATTTTCTTTTTAATCAAAAATTCCACATTTTTAGCTAATAGTATTTTCATTTCAAGTTACTGTTTAAAAAAAAATGAAAGGAATAATCAGGACTCCCAGGATTACTTTTTCTAATGATTTTAGCCATTCTCTATAAAGTTTGTAACCAATTAAAAAAATAGTTAAAAGTTGAAAAGTTTATAAGAATGTCTGTCCTTAGAGGTATATTGATTGATTTGATATATTTATTTTTTGAGAAACTACACCTCCTGATGTCATGTCTAAATGTGCAGGTCTAAAAGGCGTATCTCATAATAGTACATCACAGTTTTGATCACTCATCTTTTAGTTATTTGTAGAATGAGCCTACTTTGTCAAAATAGAAATATCCATTTATTATGAATGCTCAGATTAGTCTTTAGCTCCTTTTACTTGCAAAAAAGTAGTTTAAAAAACAGTATGTCTATTTAGTCATCCATGGTAGGTATCTTCTTTTTACAGTTGTCTTTATTTTTATTTTCTACAGCTCAGAGTGTATTTGCGAACCTCAAATCTGGACAATGCTTTTGCTCATGTCACCAAAACACAAGCAGAAACATTACTGCTTAGTGTTTTCCGGGACATGGTAATAGTTTTTCGAGCAGACTGTTCAATATGCCTTTATAGTATTGAAAGAAAATCTGGTGGGTAAGTATATAAAATATACAGAATCATTTTTTGCTCTTATTTATCATGCTTCCTCTGTAGTTTTATTTCTCAAAACAGTTACTCTAATTTTATATTTGGTTTCCTTTGTTTTAGGAGTTTAATAAAGCAAGGAATTTTAATTAGTGATCTTCATATGGTAGTTATCTTTTAGCTACCAAAAGAAATAAACTATAAAGCTTTACCAATTTTTTCAGCTAATCTTACTGGACTCATTTGAGGGAAAAAAAAAAAAAGCTAGTTTCAGATGGGGTAAAATTTTAAATATTAATTTTTTTTTTTTACAGATCTTGATAACAGGTTGTTACTAATCATCCTAGTGTTCTACAAACTTGGGGAAATTTATAGTGTTTCTACAGCTTCAGGGGCTTAGGAAGCATGGCCTTAGCAGACTCTTGTACATTTTCACTGGCCTAGGTGGCTAAAGTCTGGAAAAGGAAAAACTAACTGTCTTCTTGCTGTTTGTGTGTGTTGCTCATATTCTTCTTTGCTTCTGGCCAACTTGCAGCATTTAGACCACACTTGTCGAGTTTTATTTTGTTCTCAGATGGCTTTTGTTTCTTTTTATAAAAAAGCTATGAAGTGTGTGTTTGCTGAAGTAGCTTAGTAATTGAGGATCTCTTTTATAAAGATAAAAATTAGCAGATCACCTTAGATAGAACCCATTTCCTTCCTCAGCCAACTACATCTCAGCTGACGAAGCTATTCCTGTAACGTTCTTCCCAATTTCTTTTTTCTATGTCTTACTCTCCTTTTTTCCCTCCCCTTATCTCCATTTGTGTTCTTGGGTGCCACAGCCTTGTCATTCTGCTGTTTAAAGGATACTTGGGGAGGTGGAAATGGTAGGTAGAAAGTATTTGGGGCCCCTATAAACATAAACTCTCATACTATTTGTAGTAGAAATGGGGAGGGAAAAAAAACCTCATTAGAATTGTTGAGGTATATGGTTTCTTTCTCTTTTACAGTCCAAATACTGCTGGTATTCAGGTTCTTCAGGAAGTATCCATGTCACGCTACATTCCTCACCCTTTCCTGGTGGTATCTGTCACTCTGACATCAGTGAGTACAGAGAATGGAATCACCTTGAAGATGCCACAGCAGGTACCATTCTGTTATCAGAGCTCTTTACAGTTTTCAGTTCTTTGTGTTTTAATTTGATATTAGGAACTATTCATTTGTTCAGAAAATACATAATAAATATCTAGAATCTGCCTTGTATGAAGATGCTGGGTTACAGTGCCAACTAAACAAACATGGTTTTTGCTACTACTGGAAAGAAATAATTACATAGATAATTAATTATAAATGTGATGTGTATACCAAAAAGTAATACAGGTTACTGTGTATACCAGAAAGTGATACTGTGTTATAACGTTATACTGTGTATAAAAGTTACACTGTGTGTAACGAAAGCCTGGAGTAGTCTAAGCAATCACATATGGTTTCTCTATCATTTAAATTGAAACCTGAAGAATAAGTGGTGTTTATCTAAGTAAAGAGGAATTTCAGTCAGAGGGAACAGTTCAAAGACCTGTAGATAAGAGAGAACATGACACATTCAGGGAATTAGAAGAAATTTCACAGTGACTAGAACATAGAGTATGAGAATCTTATTGATACTATGGACTTTGTCTTAAAGTCTAAAGTGTTTTAAGCTAGAAATTATTAGATCTAAGCTTTGTAATATTAGAGAAAACATTACAAAGGAGGAAAATGAACCAGACTTGGACAATACTGGATGAAGGGAGAGCAGCTAAGAGGCCATTGCAATGATCTAGGTGAATGGTGTTTGTGGTCCAAACTTGGGTAATGAAAAGAAGATAGAAAGAAGTAGAAGGAATATGACATATAGAGGACTCCATGATTAGTTAATTATGAGCAAAGAGAAGGGATACCCCCATAGTTTCTGGTTAAAGTAACTGTGTAGGTAGCATTGCCACCAGGACCAGGTTGCATAACTTATGCAACTTCATGTCAATGTGGAACCCATCTTCAGAGAAAAGTTCTGTGTGGATTTACTTGTCATCCCTGTCTGTCTAGTCTTTTAAAACTTCCTATTAAGGCACTTCCACTGACTGCCTTTAAAATACAGGTTCCATTTTCTCTGCAAACTCATATTTCATGTAACCAGATAGTCCTAGTTAATAAAAAAAAGGAATGTTTTACAGATTTCTAGCTAAAAGATATGGAAGGAATTTGAGAATTAAGAATCAGTTTTGCAGCCTTTGAAAAAAATGAGTGGATTCAGTGACCACCGGTTGAAACCAATGAATGGTCGATGGGAACTTCACAGTGAAGTTGTCATGCCTAAGCCTTATTAGTCAGTCTTAGCAGCACTAAAAGTAGGAGAACCATGCATGCTTCCTGGGGTAATGCAGCCTGAGGTTCACATGAGGAATTACTGCCAAAAGCACTGAGCCTGAACTGAATCAGGCTTCTTGAGTCATCTTCTATTCATCGAAAATACAGGGATAAAGGTTTAGTTTAATAACATTCTATAGGAAAACTGTAAGTCATTAATGCAGACGAAAAAAGAAGAGTCTTCTAAATAAGGCTTTAGAGCTATGACAACAAAATGCAATGCATAAGGTCATTTGTATTTTGATTCAAATAGACTACAAAAAGACACTGTTAAAACAATTAGCGATGTTGACTGAGAGTTGACACTGAGAAATAGTTCTAAATTTTATTAAATTTAGATGTGATGTTAGCATTGTAATTATATAATCAAATGTCCGTATATTTGAGAGATGCCTATTAAATGTATAGGAGTAAAGTGGCATGATATCGTCCTGTAAAATACGTTGGCAAAGTAAGTATTAATAAAAAGAGAAAAGGGATAGGTGAAACAAACCTTGGTAATTGTCAATCTGAATAATGAGAATAAAATAGGGTGGTGTACATTTTATGTACTTTTTATCATGTTTGAAGTCATATTAAAGAAAAAGCTTCTTGAATATTCTAGATAGAGTAGGCAGTCAGAAGATGAATAACACTGGGTGTCCCATTTTAATTAAGAGGCCCTTTTACAAAGGAGATACTTAACTTTGTAAAGAGCAGAATAAGAAGTTGAAAGATAAGAGGAAATAGATTACATCTTGCACAGAGAGAAGGCCAAGGTTTAAAAAGCAAAGCAAGTCTTGATTTAACAACAAAAAACCAGCAGTGAGAACTGTTCAACAGTAAGGTGGCCTCCCTCAGGAGACAGGTGAGCTCCTTGTCTCTGAAGCTCCAATGAGAATTACCTACCAGGAATTTTTTAGGGTAAGAGATGGTTTGTTGGGTTCCTTCAGATTTAGGACCTTGAGGATACATGTGGTCCCAGCTTTTGTGTTACACTCAGTTTCTGAAAAGTTCATCAAAGTTGCCTGAGAGGGCTGTAATGGTTACCTGTCCTTATGTACTGTGATATTATCAGTAAAAAATGTTGACTGCGTGGCTAGAGCTGAAGGGAAAAATAGAGAATTTTGTGGGGTTTTTTCTGTGCTGGTTGTTCATTGCTGAGCAGACCTTTCTCTGGCTGTGGCAAGCGGGGACTACTCTAATTGCAGTGCACAGGCTCCTCGGTGCGATGGCTTCTCTCGTTGCAGAGCACTGGCTCTAGGGTGTGTGGGCTTCAGTAGATGCAGCTCCCAGGTTCTAGAGCACAGGCTCGGTTGCTGTGTGGGGCATGTGGGATCTTCCCAGACCAGAGATTGAACCCATGTCTTGCATTGGCAAGCAAAGTTTTTACCACTGAGTCACCAGGGAAGCCCTGTTTGTTTGTTTGTTTTTAATGAAATAGTATAAAATACAGTGGTGAATTTACTATCTGAAAACTTAAAAGTGGTCATTATGAACATTAACATATTTTAGAGAACTGCAGTGAATGTTCTTCGGGTCTTTGGAAGTATTTGAGGAGTTTCTCACTGTGGGAGTGTGTGTGTTAGTCACTCAGTCATGTCTGATTCCATTACCCCATGGACTGTAGCTCATCAGGCTCCTCTGTCCATGGAATTCTCCAGGCAAGAATGCTGGAGTGGATTGCTATTCCCTTCTCTAGGCAATCTTCCCAACCCAGGGATTGAACCTGGGTCTCCTGCATTGCAGGCAGATTCTTACACCATCTGAACTACCAGGGAAGCCCTGTGCCAGTCTCCAAACAGTATACTGTTTGATTCTTGGGATTGCATGTTTGGTTTCCTCTCCTCTCTATTTCTTTTAATTCTCACACAGCTTTTCAATTCCATTTTTCCTTCTCCTAACTCTTAAGTTATTTACTGTTTCTCATGTGTTATGGACAGATGTTCAGATTTTTAGTTTATGTGCTAAATCAGGAACGGAAGACTCATTTCCAAGTAGAATTCTTCAGCTTTGTGACAGTTGCTTACAGATTTTTGTGGGAGTAATTTTTCAAATTCCTGCTTTTTAAATTAACATGCTTATTACCTACCTGGATGATATAGAGCAAAAATGAGTGACAAAGTCCATGAGTATTCAGCACCCTTCTGCCATTTCTTTACACACAATCTCCTGTGTCTTAGAGTGGTACAAACGAGCATTTCATATATCTGATTATTTTTTCAAGTAGAATACATTGTTTTCCTGACTGAACCGTAAATGATATTGGAGCTTAAATTCATCCAGCCAGCAGGAGTCAAAGCTAGGAGACAATCCATGTCATCTTAATAATCATCCTTTCCTTCCTAAAACTCTTTCCTTCTTTGGTTAGTGGCATCATGCTGTGTTTCTCTTCTTGCCTCCAAAAGCTTAGCCAGCGGCCCTCTGCTCTGTTGCGCCCATATACCTTGCTTCAGAAAATTCATCTGTTTCCTTCAGTTTACCAGCCTTACCATTATAGTTCAGTGATTCTGGTTTTCATCTCCAGTTGGTCATCTCTCACATTTTTATCTGGAAGTCTTAAGATTCTTTCTAATTTAATGGGCAGTGAACTTATATGCAGAGTACATCATGAGAAACACTGGGCTGGATAAAGCACATTGCTGGGAGAAATATCAATAACCTCAGATATGCAGATGACACCACCCTTATGGCAGAAAGTGAAGAAGAACTAAAGAGCCTCTTGATGAAAGTGAAAGAATCACTTCATGGCAAATAGATTGGGAAACAGCCGCTGACTTTATTTTTCTTGGCTCCAAAATCACTGTGGATAGTGACTGCAGCCATGAAATTAAAAGACAGTTGCTCTTTGGAAGGAAAGTTATGACCAACCTAGATAGCATATTAAAAAGCAGAGACATTACTTTGTTAACAAAGGTCCGTCTAGTCAAGGCTATGGTTTTTCCAGTGATCATGTGTGGATGTGAGAGGTGGACTATAAAGCTGAGCACCGAGGAATTGATGCTTTTGAACTGTGGTGTTGGAGAAGACTCTTGAGAGTTCCTTGGACTGCAAGGAGATCCAGCTAGTCCATCCTAAAGGAGATCAGTCCTGGGTGTTCATTGGAAGGGCTGGTGTTGAAGCTGAAACTCCAGTACTTTGGCCACCTGATGTGAAGAGCTGACTCATTTGAAAAGACCCTGATGCTGGGAAAGATTGAGAGCAGGAGGAGAAGGGGACAACAGAGGATGAGATGGCTGGATGGCATCACCAACACAATGGACATGGGTTTGGGTGGACTCTGGAAGTTGGTGATGGACAGGGAGGCATGGCGTGCTGCGGTTCATGGGGTCGCAAAGAGTCGGACAGGACTGAGCGACTGAACTGAACTGAAAGGAAACTCTTCAGATTCCCTTTCCTAAGTTATTATCTCCTTCTAACTTCTGTCCATGAAGACTGCAACTTCTCTAGCACCTCACCTAGATTCAGCACTCTGAAATCATCTTTGACTTAGCTTTGTTTTTTTACCCTTCATGTCTAGAATACAAGTAAGCTTTTGGTTTGTTTTAATCAAAATGTTCTTCCTCTTTACAAGTGAAAATAACTTGATAGCTGAAATTAAACTTTAAAGCAGTGCTCCTAGCTGGGAGTCCTACGTTTTCTACTTTAGGGTTTGGTTGACATTTTCCTTAATAAAACGCAGACTGTTTACTTCATTTCTGAAGTCACCACCCATGATATCTTCCTCCGCTCAGTCATCCATCCTGAATAACTCAGAATTTTTAATAACTCTTTTATTCAAGGACCATAAGTAGTGGCTTATTTCCTGATATATTTTTACTTGACTTTCCAAGCCCTCCATGAAGGTCTATTACCATCAGTATTTTTTCTCGTAATATCCCTAATCTAGCCAGATTGTTCTCACTTTCCCAGTAGAACTATTTTATCTTCTTGTGTCATTTATATTTCATTCTTCAACTAAAATACCAAACGTTTTTCTCCCACCCATGTATGTCATCCTCACCCTTCAAGTCCCACTTCATCCTTAAGCCTTCTCTAGCTATGCCAACCAGGTCACTGAAGCAGTGTCTCACTTTTATGAATTTCTGGAAGTCTCTTAGTTTTTTCAGGGTAATTCAACTCTGCCATCAATTTGAATTTCACTTTTTCACTAATTAATTATTAATTGCATTGTGTTAAGCTTGTACTAGTGGAGCCAGACAGCTCCTTGACTCCAACAGAGTCTAACAGAATGACTCACCATGATACACACTCAGTATTGTTTGTTTAACCTGTAAGCATTATGCCTTGGTGGGGGAAATGCTGAAAATATACCTATTAATTCATATGAATCCAATTATTTTCCTTTCAGGCTCGTGATGCAGAGAGCATTATGCTAAATCTGGCAGGACAGCTCATCATGATGCAGAGGGACAGGTCTGGCCCTCAGATCCGAGAGAAGGACAGCAACCCTAACCAAAGGAAACTTGTGAGTTAAATGCGAGTCACTTAAAATGTAAAGAATGTCTGGGAGAAGGATGAGGGAATAAAAGAATTTAAGAGCAGAGTATTGTCTTGTGATTTGGATACTGAGAAAGTATATAAAATTAGTTGTGAGCCTTTGGATGCAAGACTGTGAAAAGTGGAGAATAAGACCCTAAAATGATAATAAAATGTTCTGTATGCCAGACGTTACTGGTTAGGTGTTATTGTTTGGAATAATTCTAATGGAAAAACAGGATAAATTGGTGAAGTTCCTTGGGGGAGGGGGGTTGTTTTGTTTTTAGATTTAAGTACACTTACTTTGAAAGGCAGGGCAGTATTGTTAACTTTAAACAGATTCTTCTAATTCTCCCCAGAATTTATACTGTCATTTTGAAAGCCTTGAGAAACTAGTACCTAGGAAAACTTCATCTACAAATTAAATGGGAAAAGAACTGATTTCAGTCTCTTCTTCTCCAGTTGCCATTCTGTCCTCCTGTTGTACTAGCCCAGTCTGTTGAAAATGTCTGGACCACATGTCGCGCAAATAAACAGAAGCGTCACCTGTTGGAGGCCCTCTGGCTGAGCTGTGGTGGTGCCGGGATGAAAGTCTGGCTCCCTCTTTTCCCCAGGGATCACCGCAAGCCCCATTCCTTCTTGTCCCAGCGGATCATGCTGCCTTTCCACATAAATATCTACCCCCTGGCTGTTCTGTTTGAAGATGCATTAGTCCTTGGTGCTGTCAATGACACTCTGCTCTACGATTCTCTGTATTCTCGGAACAGTGCTAGGGAACAGCTGGAGGTGCTCTTCCCTTTCTGTGTCGTGGAGAGAACCTCTCAGATCTACCTCCATCACATTCTGCGTCAGCTGCTGGTGAGGAACCTCGGGGAGCAAGCTCTGCTCTTAGCCCAGTCCTGTGCCGCGCTGCCTTACTTTCCCCACGTGCTGGAGCTCATGCTCCATGAAGTGCTGGAAGAAGAAGCTACCTCACGGGAGCCCATTCCCGACCCTCTGCTTCCCACGGTGGCAAAATTTATCACCGAGTTCCCGCTCTTCCTGCAGACAGTTGTTCACTGTGCCAGGAAGACTGAGTATGCCCTGTGGAACTACCTGTTTGCAGCTGTTGGAAACCCCAAGGACTTGTTTGAAGAATGTTTGATGGCTCAGGATTTAGATACTGCTGCGTCTTACCTTATTATCTTACAGGTAACAATTATCTTCTTGTAAATGTATAAGAATTAGTGAGCATAAACCTAGAGGAAAAAGAAAGCAAATGTCCTTGGTTGGCACTGTGATCGTGATTAAAGAACTAGTACAGGCACTTCCCTGGTGGTCCAGTGGTTAAGAATCCACGCGCACCAATGCAGGGAGTCTGGGTTCAGTCCCTGTCTCAGGGATCTAGATCCTGCATGCTGCAGCAAAAGAGTCCACGTGCTGCAGCTGAGACTTGGTGCAGCCAAATAAACAAATAAAAAAAAACTATTAGAGTCAAGTTTTCTGTTCAGTTTTTATCTTTACTTTTGAAGAACTCAATCTTAGTATATGATGGCAGAAAATTACTATTAAAAAGCAGCATTGCAAGGTTTGGTTTTTTTTTTTTGTAATCCTGTTTGCCCATTAAAAAAACAAATTAATGAATTTACAGTATTATTTTGAATAATATTAAAGGAGTGTCTCCTATGTATACATATAGGTATATGCACTGTGCTTAGTCGCTCAGTTGTGTCGGACTCTTTGTGACTCCATGGACTATAGCCCAAGCTCCTCTGTCCATGGGAATTCTCCAGGCAAGAACACTAGAGTGGGTTGCCATGCCCTCCTCCAGGGGATCTTCCCAACTCAGGGATCGAACCCAAGTCTTCCACACTGCAGGCAGATTCTTTACTGTCTGAGCCACCAGGGAAGCCATGTATGTTTATCCATATAACACATTATAATACATAATAGTATGCACATACTACATAAGATTGTCAAAATATTATATAAGAAACATACTAGTAAATAATTATTTTGAATATTAGTGGGTTTATCTGAGCCCTCCACAATAATTTCTCTCCTTGTACTGTGGAATTGCTGAGAGGTGAAAGTTCTTTCAAATTACCGCAGAGTTGTTTTTATTGTTTAAAGAAGCTAACCATAAACCTGGTTTGAGATTTTTCCTGAAGCAGTTTTCCTGTCAGCTTATTTGCTTCATGGCAGCTGACTGAAGTCAGAGAAGATATTGTGGCAGAAGGTGCGTGGCCCTGAGATTCTGGCTATTCTTAAAAGACCACGCAATCATAAAAACAGAAACAAGATAAATGCAGTTTTTTGTTTGTTTGTTTAATTTAGGCCACTGCTTAGATTTCAGTGATCTCCCAAGCAATGGAATTAGAAACTTTATCAGGATTCCTAAGTTGTGACTGACAGATAAATAATTATAGTTGAACTTACCTGTTAGGCGCCTCTCCATGAAGACCAGGGCAAGCAGCAAGATTAAATCTGTGAAAGAACCACTGTGGATGCCCATTGTGTAGCAATATATATATACTGTTGCCCAGAGCAGAGTTTTTTATTAAGTCACATCATCAGAAAGCTCTGTCGCAGGACATAGACCAGAGCTTTTTTGGAGTCAGTATACTCCTGCTTTTCTGCTGATCTTCAACAAGTTATTTCTTTCTTTGTTTAGAACATATATTTTTATTTCTCTCTCATCTAACTGTCCTGTTTTTGGCAACCAGATTTCTTTCATTTTGGATTTCTAACACTCTTGAGGGCAGGGGATTCTCAATGTGTGGTCTACAGAATTCCGGGGATTTCCTAGACATATTCAGGAAGACTTCAGAATCAAACTAATTTTCATATTAATACTGAGATACTATTTACCTTTTTATCCTGTGCTTCTATTTGTACACTCTGCATTGCCATGCAATTACAATTTTTAAAAAGTTTTAAATGCATAATTTCAACAAGTTGTTTAACTCAGTTTTCTCATGTGTAAAATGAGAATGATATATCTCTTTTGAGAGTCACTAGGAGCAATGAAAAGAAAGAATGTATGTAAAGTTTAAGATATCTGGCACTAATGGGAGTGCAAGAAATCATATATTACACCAGGGAAATATTTGCCTCACTTCTTCTTGTATGGTACTTTTTAATGCTTCTTTTGATTTTACTAGTAAATTATTCCTTACAGTGCTATATCTGCATTACTTGTCTGGGTTTAGGGAAGTGTGGAGATAGAGAATTACTCATATCTTCTCAAATCATTTGCAGTATAAAAGGAATTCTTGGTTTTTTTTCTAGAACATGGAAGTTCCAGCAGTAAGTAGGCAACATGCCACCCTTCTTTTCAACACAGCCCTGGAACAAGGCAAGTGGGACCTGTGTCGACACATGATTCGATTTCTGAAAGCCATTGGCTCTGGAGAATCTGAGACGCCCCCATCCACACCTACAGCTCAGGTTAGGTGAAGAATCGCACAGCTTTGCTTGGCCACACACCCACTTGACATCTCCTCTAACCATACTGTGCACCTTGTGTGTGATCACAGGAACCCAGTTCAAGTGGTGGTGGATTTGAGTTCTTCAGGAATCGAAGCATCAGTTTATCCCAGTCAGCTGACAGTGTTCCTGCTAGTAAATTCAGCTTACAGAAAACACTAAGTATGCCATCTGGTCCTTCTGGAAAAAGGTAAAAGAATGAAGAACTGTTACTTTTAGGGCATTCTACAACACATTGCATTTCAGGGTATTTGTAAAACTGGATCTTAGGAAAAAACTATTTGATCCGATTGCAATTCCTTTTTACATTCCCAAAAGGCTTCCCTTTTTTCTTTCTCCTAAATTCACTTCTTTATTCTTTGTACAGTTTTTGCCCTTTGTACTAGAATAGGTCTTGATATGCCCATTCTAAATGTGACTAACATTAAATTACCTCTAATAGAGGACCAGAATAAAAAGGAAGCTAGATCTGCAAATAATTCAAAAGCCTTCTTATAGTCAACAGTTTTCCCCTTCTTTCCCAGTGTACCTTTTGACCATAAGAAAATTTTAGTCCTCATGTACTGGACTCTCTTGTGACTCTTTTGAGTGGAGAAGTCATTAAACAGTTCATGCCAAAAAAGGGTATCCTGGAGCCTGAAACCTCTATTACATGTAGATGGGTTACAATGCCCTGAAGGGTAGCTCTGAACTCATGCTGAACGTTGTAAAATAGATTTTCCTGTTTTGTGAGGTCCTGTGTTCCCTCCTGTGTTGTTATGTGGTCTTGGCTCTTGGTTTCTTTCTCTCCCCAGTCCTTTCTTTATATTCCATGTATATTCTTACTAGAGCGCCTGACACAGAATGACAGCTTCCTGAACATTTGTATTGTGATGTTTTGCAGCTTTTTCTTATCAGAGCCATTAATACACCTGCATTTCCAACACACATACTCAGACACACACACACCATAAACAAGTTAAATGCATCTGTGAAAGACTATAAAACAATTGCCAGGCAAACAGTAGCTACTCAGCTGTACCCTGAATGCAAGTGGTGTTTAATATACACTAAGTGCTCACTGCACGCCAGGCACAGTTCAAACATTTCCGTGTATAGGTTTTTCAGTAACAGCTCCATATGGGTAAATATACTGTTATTATCCACATTATACAGGTGAAAAACAGAGGCCCAGAAAAATAAACTTGCTTTATATTCACAAAACTGTGTGGCAGAGCCGAGTTCAGAATGCAGGTAGTCCTGCTCCAGTACTGCTCTCTGAAGGCACCCCATCACCCTGGTACCAAACCAGTGGTGACACATCAGTTCATAGGAGTAAGGGATGATAGACGATATTTAGTCATTCATTTTTTAAAATCTGTTTTTTTCTTATGTGTCTATAACTCACATTAAGAGACTGCATTTCACTTTGCTTCTCTTTAGTCTTCTTGATCTGATCTCCTTCCCTCTTTTCAAATACAGCATTTATTTGCTTCCTTTCTTTACTTCATCCAGTCACTATCCTCTTCCTGGTTTGGCTTTGTCAGTCTTCTGTTTGTTTTCTATTTTGTACTTTTATTTTACAGACATGTTTAAGAGGCTGCTTTCTGTGTTCCAGCTATTGCTCAACAGGTGTGCTATCGCATGGAGAAGCTCTGATACTTGATCTTCCTCTTCCCTCAAATCTCTTACCTCCTTGTCAGCATTTTCAGGGCTACTTCATAAGAAGTATGTGAAGATTGTTCTGTAGCTTACTTGTGTTCCCACTTACAGATGGAGCAAAGACAGTGACTGTGCTGAGAACATGTATATTGATATGATGCTCTGGAGACACGCTCGGCGTCTCTTAGAAGAAGTTCGGCTAAAGGATCTCGGCTGCTTTGCAGCCCAGTTGGGCTTTGAACTCATTAGTTGGCTGTGCAGGGAGCGTACCCGTGCTGCCCGAGTAGACAACTTCGTGTTGGCCCTGAAGAGGCTCCACAAAGATTTCCTTTGGCCACTTCCCATCACCCCAGCTGCTTCTGTCAGTTCTCCTTTCAGAAACGGAAAATACCGAACAGGTGATACAGGCTTTGTGTTATTTAGACAAGAATTATATTTGCTCCAAATGTTTAGACATTTTTCTATTAGTTGATATTCAAGGAAGTCTTTTCATTCCAAGCTTAGATAAAAGCTGACTTTTTGTAGATCAGTTGGAACATCCACCATTTGACTAAGGATGTAAACAAAAGTAGATCATGTGTCTCTAGGTCTTATGACTTTGAAGTTTAATTTATAAATCCAACTGATTGTTTTCTCAGATTATCAACAAGTTGAGCATGACTGAGTATAGAAGCTTCCACACTTTTTTTTTTGTAGGAAGTTTCCTGAAATGCAGGAGACCCCGGTTCAATTCTTGGGTCAGGAAAATCTCCTGGAGAAGGGAACAGCTACCCACTCCAGTATTGTGGCCTGGAGAATTCCATGAACTGTATAGTACATGGGGTCGCAAAGAGTTGGACACAACTGAGTGACTTTCACTTTGGCATTGGTTAGTCCCAGATCTCAAAATAAGCTAAATTGTGACTTACCTGACAGGATTCATTCCAGAGAAATGGTAAAAATATGTCTTTGAGAGCTTGGGCCATCTTCTAAATTTGGAGAGGGCAAAGTGAATTGTATTTTGGTAAAAAAATTTTTAGGTTTTTTAGTTCAGGTTATTATTACTTACAAAAATTCAAACAAAAACCTTTTTATTATGGCATTTGGAAGTTTCATGTCATCTTAAAACCAAGGAAAATCATTTAAGGATGAATAAGGTTTTGCCTAGTTTCTGGTAAGTTAAACAATAATAGAAGATGACTGCTAGGTGGCATTATCTAGTCAGTCCATTCTGTTCCAGTCCAACTTCCCTGGTTCATGGATGGGTGATGCTGTGTAGGGACATTAATCGGCTTTGAACTTTTAGTAGTTGGGGTTGGTGGGGGAAGAGAAGCTGAAAGAACTGAATTGGAAATAGCAGTGTGTGCGCCTTTAATTCCCCCCCTTTTTTTTCTTTGTTTCCTACCTTGCAGTGGGAGAGCAGCTGTTAAAGTCACAGTCAACTGACCCATTTTTAAACCTCGAGATAGATGCTGGTGTCTCTAACGTCCAACGAAGTCAGAGCTGGCTCAGCAACATTGGCCCTGCTCATCAAGAAATAGACACAGCTTCATCTCACGGGCCACAGATGCAAGATGCCTTCCTGTCACCTTTATCTAATAAAGGTAGATACCATTTTAAATCCTAGCTCCTCATTGATTTCTTTGGAGGAAAGTTTATATGCAGTATGTAGCATTTCAGAGAGAGCTTCACTCATTTCAAGATGTGTCCTTGAGAATTAGCATTAGTATCTGCTGGAGAATTAGCATTAGTGTCTGCTGGAGAGGTGAATAGTTACTAGCACAAGGCCAAAATGACCTTGATTATATACTTTGCCATGTTTATTTTACATAAATGAAACAGGTAAAACCACTACAGCTAAACACTAATAAATGAACCTTTGTAATCAATTTTGATGATACAGAAACACTGACTTTGAACCTCAAGTAAACAAAACTTTATCCATGTGTAAAGAATTCCATTCTTCTCATAGGTGCACCTGTATTGTAAAAAATTGTTACCAATTATTGTTTATTTCAGCTGTAAAAAAATTATGGGAAAATTTTTTTCTCTTGTAAATTCCTGCTTGATACCCTTAATTTTGCACCTCAGCCTTCAAAGCCTAAGATATTACTGTCTGACCCTTTACCAAAAAAATGTGTGTCTTCTGCAATTATAGTAATAGGTAAATTACAAGTTGAAGAAGCTTTAAAGTGATTTCTGTTGTTTAGGTTTATGTAAGAACTTAAGTAGCAACTGACCTGATTTTCTGCAGGTTTTTAATGGCCAGGCGTTCGCCTGGTGTTTGATTTTCAGTATGTCATCACTCACCGGAGCTGCTGCTGTGTAGGGAGGCATACAGAAGTCATGGCTTCTTTTATTGTAGTAGAATACATGTAAAATTTACTACCTTAAGGATTTTTAAGTGTACAGTTCATTTATATTCTTGGCCAACCAACCCGCAAAACTCTCTTTTATGTTGCAAAACAAAACTTTATACCCATTAAAGAAAACTCCCTCTCTCTCCCTCCCCCAGCTCCGAGCAACTTTTCTGTCCCTGTGTAATTGTCTTTTTGTGTCTGGCTTATTCCACTTAGATAATGTTCTCAAAGTTCATCCTTGTTGTAGCGTGCATGGGAATTTCCTTCCTTTTTTGGGTTTGGCAATATTCTATTGTGTGTCCAGACCACATTTTGTTTATCCATTCATCAATGGCCACTTGCATTGCTCCCACCTTTTGGTTATTGTGAATTATGCTGCAAAGAACGGGGGAGTACTGTGAATATGGGAAGTCTCTTTGAGACTGTTTTCGTTTTCAGTTCTTTTGGGGATTGTCAGCTCATGTGGTAATTCTATTTTCAACTTTTTCCTCATAGCAGCAGCCCCACTTTATATTCCTATCAGCACTGGCAGGAATTCCAGTTTTGCCACATCCTTGCCAACACTTCTTTGATGATTTTGTTGATAGTAGCATCCTAATGGACCTGAGTGGCATCATTGCTTTTCTTTAGAAAATTTTTTAAAGAGATCATTTCAAACATATTGTAAATGGAGAAATAATACTATAATGGGCACCTTCCCTCCAACCCCCACTTCAGTTATTACCAACTCATGAATAAATTTGTTGATAAAACACTTTCTCCTTCCTGTATTATTGAACTCAATCTAAGATATGGTATGTTTTATTTGTGAATGTTTCAGTATATATTTCTAAAAGGACTTTTTAAAAAAAATAATAATGTTACATCTCTCTAAAAATTTAACAGTAGTTCCTTAATACCATCAAATATCCAGTAAGTATTCAAATTCCAGCTGTTTTACAATGTCAGAATATTTTTGTGGTTTAAAAGAAAGTGAAAGTCACTCAGTCTTATCTGACTCTTTGCAATCCCATGGACTGTATAGTCCAGGTCAGATTATAGTCCAGATTCTCCAGGTCAGAATACTGGAGTGGGTAGCCTTTCCTTTCTCCAGAGGATCTTCCTGGATCTCCCTAGACCCAGGGATCTACCCCAGGTCTCCCGCATTGCAAGTGGATTCTTTACCAGCTGAGCCACAAGGAAAGCCCAAGAATACTTTGAATCAAGATCCAAATAAGATTCATACACAGTGATTATGTTTCGTAAATTTCATATTTAGTGCTTGTTCCCCTTCCCCATCTTTTTTTTTTCTTCTTGCAATTTATTCATTGAAGAGACTTGCTTCTGTGGATTTTCTCGTGACTGGATTTTAGTTGATTGCATCTTCATGGTTTAAACAGTTTCTGTATTTCTTGTAGATTGGTGATTGAATCTAAAGACTTGATTGGGAATCCTCTGGTGGTCCATTGGTTAGGACTGTGTATTCCAGTGCTTCAAAGATCTGGAAACTAAAATCCCATAAACTGTGTGGCACCTCCCTCCCCCAAAAAAGACTTGAACAAATTATAGCTAGGTTTGTTGCTGTTTCCAGAGGTGGGCAAGACTGCTTAATAGGTAGTAGTGTACTTTTCTTTTCCATGGCACATAATGCCTGGTTACCTCTCTGATGATTTTTTTTTTTTAATACCTTCTACTATTTAACATGGGAATTTTAGTAATGAATTTAATGTTTTGGTCTCAAAATCCTAAAAAGAAAGCAACATCTGAGAGACAGTGAATATTTTTAATTAAAGGAAAACATATATTAAGCTACTTTGTAACTTTTGACAATTCTTCATCAGGTGATGAATGCAGTATTGGTTCAGCCACGGACTTGACTGAAAGTAGCTCCATGGTGGACGGAGACTGGACAATGGTGGATGAAAATTTCTCCACACTCAGTTTAACCCAGTCAGAGCTGGAGCATATCTCCATGGAGTTGGCGAGTAAAGGGCCTCACAAATCCCAGGTCCAGCTTCGGTGAGTTTCTCAGCATTTTGGAAGCATAGAATGCCTCCTCAGGGTGTTTGGGCAAATTGGGTATGTAGGCTACTTTCCTGATAACGACTGCCTTTCTCTTCATCCATAGATCCTTCCTAGCATGAGTCACTGTGTTTCTGCTTCTGTATATAGGTATTTGCTGCACATCTTCATGGAGGCAGGATGTCTGGACTGGTGCATTGTTATAGGCCTGATTCTTAGAGAATCCTCAATAATCAACCAGATTTTGGTTATTATACAGTCTTCAGAGGTAGATGGAGAGATGTTACAGAACATAAAGACAGGGCTGCATGCTGTGGACCGATGGGCCTCCACAGATTGGTAAGTTATTAGGCTCACTACCTTGACTTCCTCTGGAGACTCTTCCCCTTTCACATTAAGGCTTACTTCTGTTTATTTGGAGATTCATAGGTTGCTGGAAATAAAAACTCCTTTTGTATATTCATTTTTAAGATTATTTTCTTTAATTACCATTTTAGACCATTATTTTAAATGAATCATATCCATTGTTGTCAGTGAATGTGTGTCACTGAGGACTAATACAGTACAAATGACCTCAGAACTAGGGTGGAACTTGATATTTCTAATTCTGTGGAATTGAAAATGATAACCTAAAAACAAGATAAAAATTTAAGGTCCATGTGAGTTGAACATTCCATGGCAGTTACTGACAAGCCCAAAATAAGAATAGTGAATGGAAGTTAGAAGAGCCTAGAATCTGCCCCCTTTGTCACCAGTTACCTGTGGATTTGGGGTTTCCCTCACTTGGGTCTAGTCTTCCTTAATTGGCAAATTCATTTAGGTTAAATGTTCTCTGAAGGTCCTGTTTTTCAAGTCTGAAAATCCTATTAATGGTGTTTACGATTATAGAATATGCTTTTTAATTGCAATACTGGATAAAGAATATCCATCTTTGCTGTTTATGCTTATACATTACGTGTAGCCCCATCCATGGGGGCCTTGGCGTCTCAAAGCCTTTCCCTTCCTATCACCTCTGTGCCTCCTCCTGTACCCCATAATCTATCAGTGACCCTGCTGTATCAATGCTTAGTAAGAATCTATCCATAACATGCTATGGAGCCTTTTGAATGTGGCTGATAAGAGCCAATTTCCTTTTTCTTCTGCTTAGTCCTGGATATAAGCCATTTTTAAACATCATTAAGCCACACCTGCAGAAGCTTAGTGAGATAACAGAAGAGCAGGTTCAGCCTGAAGCCTTCCAGCCGATGACTGTGGGTAAGACTCCTGAACAGACTAGTCCCCGGGCAGAGGAGAACAGGAGCTCCTCGGGCCATGGGAGCATCCCCCAGGGCGAGGTCGGAGGCAGCAGTTTGGTCAGCCGGAAAGAAGAGGACACAACTCGAGCAGAGGAGGAGGAACCTTTTCAAGATGGGACTTACGACTGTTCTGTGTCCTAACAACAGTGAGTACCGTCACCACGGGCAGTATTAATTAGCATCAGCGTGCAGCTGAGGACACTGTGACCTAGCTGGAAAATTTAACCAGGGAGAGAACACAGTTCAGAGACTCTGGTAAGGTGTTATTAAATTTTAACCTTTTCCTCTACGAAACCTTGAGTCCATAAAAATGTGATATCAAAAAAAATATCATCTTTCATAAAAGTTTTTTTTTACGCTGCAGTGGAAAGTTGTACAGAATATTGTACAGATGTATATGCGAACATTTTGGTTTTCTTAAAGATTGGTAACTCTTAAACCACAGGGATTGTTTTGCCCCAGATGAGCTTACTTTTTCACTACTTAAAGCTTCCTATGTTTTCTGGTTCAGCGTGTGTTCCAGACTGCTTTTTAAAAATAAATGCTAAGGTGCTTGCTGTAGCTCATCAAGTACTTGAGCTACCTGTGTGCCCCCTGGATCAAGAGCACTGGACTCCCTAACTGAGCCTCTGAATAGATGCCTGCCCCGGTATAACAGGTACCTGTAAGATGCTCCTCTTCTAGCCTGTTAATCCCGGTCCTCAATTGATGGAAGCTATTTACCTGTGTCAGTGTGCCTGCTTTTTGTCTAGCTTGGTTCCTACTAGGGGAGTGTAGGCAGAGGCCTGAGGAGTTCTTATCAATTATGCTATTAGATACCACTGAACTATTTTGTATCAAAGAATCGTATCTTTTTGTGAATAATTTTGTGTAAATATACTCAAAGGCACTGTTCCTATTTTTAGGGCTTGTACCATAATTTGTAAGGTTTTATGCTGGATTCTGCATGGCTATAGATACTCACTCTTAGAACAAAGACAGGGCTTGCTCTTCTTTCCAGATACAAGCACTCTTCATAGAGGAAGACAGATTTATTGGCTTGGTCATAAGGTAACAGAAATGGTCACACTGATCATGAAATGAAACAGGTTTTGTGCAAATTAATGTAGTTTCTTATTTATTGCTTTTGTAAATTGAATAAAAATGAACTATGTAAATAGACTGCTGAATCCTGTATTATCACGGCTACTAAAAATTAGTATGTAAAGAATGCATTCTTCATCATAACTTTATAAATATTTTATGTATTTCTAGATATGACTTAAATCTTAGTTTTCATACATTATGAAAACACAGTTGTAGACTCAGTTGCTTCAGACTAAACACATATCCACTGTATGTATATCAATTACCTTATAACAGTATTAATTTAGATAGCTTGTTTGTACTGTGCAATTTGAACAAAGGAATGCAATGTTATTTTTTACAAAAACAAACTTATTTTTATAATAACAACGTATTTGATGTGGACCAAATTCATACCACTATGTAAAACAGCCTCTCCTCTCATAGTGCAATTTACAGTTTAGAAATAAAACTTGGTCCTCTATCCTTGCTTTTTAAAATTAATGGCTAGATTTAGTTGTCCTAGCCAGGTTTCCTTTGAAGGGAAACTCAAATTTGAAAAATGTTTGTTTAAAAGTCATCAGCGGTTTTAAATTACTGAGTTTGATAATTTACTATCACTTACTTTTCACATTACAAGTGCAATACTTTCACATACTAAAACTCCTGAATGGGTGGAATATGTGATTACTGGTACCTGGCCCTTCTGGTGCTATGTTTATTTAAGCCTTTGTTTTAAACCACCTTTCCCTAAATCTTAAGATAGATAAATGTTTCCCATGTGAGTCCATGCAGCCCAGCAAGAAACTGGAGAAATTCTTCTCCTGTCCTAGTCCATTATGAGAACAGGACTAGCATTACTTTTGTGTTTGGTGTGAGTATTTAGTCAATAAAAATGATTCGCCATTGTAAACAGCCATGATCTTTTCAGATATCCTAATGTGCTGCTGGGTTCATCTTGCTCTCTTAAAAGCAGGACGCCATTAAGTTAACCATATTCCTCTGGTTAATGCCATGACCGAAACTTTTCTTGTATAAAATACTTGTTTTGCAACCAACAGATAATAGGTGGCCCCAAGGCAAAAAGATTGGCAGCTTTACAGAAAAACTTTCCTTTGGTAGTTTGTTATATACTTTAATTTTTTAAATCATATTTTAATTTTGCCTTGTTTGGATCACGTATTTGACTGTTTAAGCCATATTTAACCAATGAATTTAAATATTCAATATAACTATTTGACGTTTAAATTATTTGCTGATACCAAAACAAGAAGTTATTTGGGGGTAGAGTCAACCTTTGCTTGTAATTAAAAGTTGCTGCTACTTCTGTAATGTGTATTTTTTTTTTTTTAACTTGGTAAAGGGCAATAAAACCATTACATGAACTTTTTGTTTATTCATCAAGTTAACAGCAAAAAGTGTATGTATTAAAAGTCATACTTGCATTACATAATTCCACCTTTTAGAATTTTCCTTATAACTAGAAATTTATATTTAAAATGTATATAGTATACCATTTTAAGGATATATTATATTTCTTTACTCATCAGTTGAGGGACATTTGGATGGATTCCACTCGGACCATCATTCATAATGACACTGATATGCAGGTTTCTGTGTGGACATAAGTTTTCGGTTCTCTTTAGGAGTGGAAATGTTGGGTTATGATAACTGATTAATTTGGGGGGAGCGGGTGCGGCGGGGAATGCTTAACTGTATTACAAAGTGCCTGTATCATTTTTTAAAATTTTTTATTAGTTGGAGGCTAATTACTTTACAATATTGTGGTGGTTCTTGTCATACATTGACATGAATCAGCCATGGATATACATGTATTCCCCATCCCGATCCCCCCTCCTGCCTCCCTCTCCACCCGATTCCTCTGGGTCTTCCCAGTGCACCAGGTCCGAGCACTTGTCTCATGCATCCAACCTGGGCTGGTGATCTGTTTCACCCTAGATATACATGTTTTGATGCTGTTCTCTTGAAACATCCCACCCTCGCCTTCTCCCACAGAGTCCAAAAGTCTGTTCTATACATGTGAGTCTCTTTTTCTGTTTTGCATATAGGGGTATCGTTACCATCTTTCTAAATTCCATATATATGTGTTAGTATACTGTAATGGTCTTTATCTTTCTGGCTTACTTCACTCTGTATAATGGGCTCCAGTTTCATCCATCTCATTAGCTTGTACCATTTTAAAAGAAAAAATCATTTCCACTAGTAGTGGATGAGGTTCAAGTTTCTGTTGTCAACATTTGTTTTTGTACTCTTGGTTCTAGCCATCTGAGTTATGTATGAAGTCTCATCTTATGGTTTAGATTTACATTTCCCTGATGGCTAACATCTTTTCATATATCATTAGCCATTCACATCTCTTTGGAGAAAACTGTATTCACATCCTTTTCCCACTTCACAGATGGCTCATTAATCTTATTGTTGATTTGCAAGAGTTCTTTATATATTTTAGATACTAGACAGTTATGTTTTGCAAATATTTTTTCATTCTGAGGGCTTTTCACTTTCATGATACTGTCTTTTGAAACATAAACTTTTTCGTTTTGGTGAAGTCCCTTTTTCTTTGGTTCCTTGAGCTTCTGGGTGTCATATCCAAGAAACCATTTCCAAATCCTAGGTTATGAAGATTTATGCTTATGTTTTTTTGTTTTATATTTTAGCACCTACATTTAGTTCTTTGATCCATTTTGAGTTAATTTTTGTATATGGTATGAAGACATCTAACTTTGTTCTTTTGTATGTGACTACTCAGTTGTTATAATTTACTGAAAAGTTTACCATTTACTGAAAAGGTTTTTTTTCCTATTGTCAAAAATCAATTGAGTACAAATGAATGGGTTTATTTCTGGAACTGTCAGTTGTATTACATTGATTTCTGGGTCTTTCCTTGATGCCAGTACTACACTGTCTTGATTACTGTTGCTACTTAGAAGAAGGAAGTTTTGAACGTGAGAGATGTTAAGTTTTTTCAGGACCATTTTGGCCCTTCTGTGTCCCTTGCATTTCCATATGAATTTTAGAATCAGCTTGTCAGTTTTTGTGTGCACCCAGACACACATATAAGGCAGCTAAAAGTTTGATAAGAATTATATTCAGATCAATTTTTGGAAAATCTTGTCATCTTGATAATATGCCTTCCAGCCCATGAACATGGAGTGTCTTTCCAGTTATTCATGGCTTCAGTTTCTTTCAGGAGGGTTTTATAGATACTTTTAATAAGATTATCAGTATTTTATTCTTGATATTGCAAATAGAAAAGTTTTATTTTTGGATTGTTAGTATATAGAAATAACTGATTTCTCTATGTTGCAATTGCATCCTATAACACTGTTGAATTCACTTACTACTTATATAGTAGTTTTTTGTGTGTGGATTCCTTAGCATGTCCTATGTAGAAAATCATGTCATCTATAATTAGAGCCTGGGCTAGAGCCTCCAATACAATATTCAAGTGGCAGTAAGTAGATACCTTCGTCTTTCTAATGTTAGGGGGAAGTACTGAGTGTCTCATATACATTAGGATGTCAGCTATTGAGTTTTCATAGATGACCTTTATCAGGTTAAGGAAGTTCCCTTCTATTAAATTTTTTATCATAAAGAGGTGTTAACTTTGTCAAAAAAGTTTCACTTCTGTTGAGATGATTATATTGTTCTTTATTCTAATAATATGGTATATTACGTTGACTTTTAGGTGTTAAACCCACATTCCATTCCTGGGCTAAATCTCATTTTGGTCATGATATAGGCCAAAGTTGAAGAAAAGAAATTATCAATATACTTGTTGTATTTTCACTAATCAAATAAGGAAATAGTAGTATCAAAAGAAAAGTACTGATACACTTCAAAAATGCCCAAGATGTTTTTTCAAATAAAAACAGACATAAGGAGGCATAGGTGCATTTTGGCTTTATTGGCCTTAAAAGACAAAGTGTTATTAAGAACATAAGTTATTTGGCTGCTTCACCTTGTGCTGAACTGTTCTGAGGGAAACTCACTTGGAAAGGGAGGTAACTTGCACAGAGCTCTTGGAGCTCACAAGTGGGTTCTCTATTTTGAGGCCTGGTGGGGCGGTGCCTTCCTTGTGAGCAGCGGGTCACTCTGACTGAAAGATAGTATTTTTCTCCCCCCGCCCCGCATCCCCCAATGAAAGAACATCCTTTATTAGCCCTTTAGTGATTTTCTTTGCCAACAATGATGATAAACCTGCTAAAAAGGCTGTAGGCTCAACATTTAATTTCTGTGAAATTCAAACGCACAATTTCATTCCACAGTAAAATGGATTCCAGTTGTAGCCATGTTGAGTTCTTTGCTCACGTGACCCTTTAAAATAGCAATTATACCCACAGAAGCCAACTAGGTCTTTCTAACAGCAAAGTTTTTTTTTTAAAGCTCTAAAAGGCTTTATGGATTTAAAATAATTCTTCAGATGAGGGGATTACAGGAAAATATAAATAATGATGATCTGTTTCTCTGTTAATGATACTGACTAGTATTTAACATGTTTATTTCAGTTAAACTGTAAGGCAACAATTCATCCCTAGCAAACCAGTGAAAAGAAATGGACATATTCATTCTTCCTTTCCTGAGTCCGCAGGCTGGCTTCTTAAATGGTGGTGACGATTTAGAAATCCGATCATGCCTATGTACATCTGCTAAAGTATGGAAACAGAAATACTGCATGCAACCGTCATTCTTAGGTAAATTTTTAAGAATTTCTCCAAAATCACAATCCTTCACACTTCCCCCAATTGTGCAGTGCTGTGCAAAAACTTAACAAGTTCTTCAGATTGCTGATCTGACAGTGTGTATATTAAGAGCCATGAGTATTGTCTGCAATTATTTAATGATTTTTGGCGTTAAAGCAGTCGCCCAGAATATGAAGCATGCCCTGAGTCTAATGTGGTTGTTACTGACCTTCTACAACATTAGCGCTTTATAATGCCACAGAAAGCCAAAACAAGAGCGAACTGTCCACATAGGAAAATAAAGGCAGAAAGAAAACCATGATTAGCATCAAAAAGGAGTTAACAACATGCTTCCCAAGGAGGTGGGGGGACGGAAATCACAGGGAACTCAGGTACTGCCCTTCCTCCACATTTGGAAGTTTGCTTTTCTTTTCCCTATAAATAATTTCCAGTAATCTATTTCAGATTAACCACAAGAACAGAAAATACGCCTGTATTTTGAAATTCATTTAGATACTATTTTTCTCCACAATTGTGAGTCTATAAAGGCTATCAGCAGTGCAGACTGTGTGTGTCACTTGAATTATCTAAGACTAGTGATACAGCTGAACCTTGACAACATGGGTTTGAGCTACAGGCCCAATTATACAGGGATTTTTCATTAAACGGATATTACAGTACTACATGATGATCCATAGTTGAATCCACAGATGCAAAACCTTGCATGCAGAGGTCAGCACTCCTAATCCCTGTGTTGTTTAAGGGTCAACTCTACGGTTCTTAGGAAGTCCAGGAAAAGCACTGGGGCCAGTGTCCATGCGTGTGACAGCATGGTACCACCGTTCAGCTCTGGCTGTACCCCTGCTGTCTGTGGGCTCAGCTTTTGAGGACATATGAGGAGCATGATTCAGAATGTGCACTGTATACATCGGACAAGCAGCTTTAAGAAGTAATTTCAAAGACACATACTACTGTGCTCTTTCTGTTCAGGTAGATTGAGTGCCACTGTATTGTTTGTTTCACTATGGCTTTTCTTTAAAAAAAAGGTTTTTTTAGCCTAGACTTGCTAAAGACAAACACTAACTTTTTATGTTTTTAATGGAAAAAAAGAAAGCCAGCAGAATTTACCATTGCTCTCACCAAACTCTTCCACTGCTGGAGCCAACAGCCATCCTCCTCAACATGAAAAGCACCTCTAAGTCCTAGAGCTGCTCTTGTGCAGAACCTAAACACCAACAGCTGTAAGGACAGTTACAGAAGGACACTCCGTGCAAGCCACAGGCTCGAGTCTCAGGAAAGCCAGCTCTGCCAGACACAGTAAGTTACTGAGAAACTAACCTGTTCCATTGGCTAGAAAACAAGGACCCAGTGCATCAATAATACTATGCCCTGAAGGATTAACCTTGGATAACAAGATTCTTATAAAAAAGAAATGAGCAGAATAAATATAAAATGCCCAGCTACTCCCACTCTCCTCCCACCCTCAGAACAGCCACCATGGCAGTTCAGCGCTCGGAGGAGGAAGTTCATGTCCTGTACTTCCACAAACAGTATTCTAGACCAAGAGAGCCTGGAAACCCCAGAAGGAAACAGGTTTTGAAAACCACCTCAGAAAAGCATCCCAATACTGGATCTTGGTGACCACGTGTCTGAAGGACAGGAGCCACCACTTCAATACAGGTTTCCACATCGGAGTACTAGGGCCCCAGAGCCCTAGTACCAGGCACACTCCAAAGACTGCCCACGAGGCTGCCCAGAGGAGCCCAGCTCCCGGCGCAGGCTGGCGCCTCAGAAGCCAGTCTCCCTCTCAGTTTCTTATGACCTACCATTAACTCCTGTGACACTTTACCACACACCAAAAAATGGCCTTGGGCTTTAACTGGAAATGTCCCTTGTCTCATTAACAAGGGATTTACAGTACCTTCTGCATCTTTCTTGATCCTAAGGGCTCAACTGTTAAAACTGGTTTGCTAGCTTTTATTGTTAAGTCATATAAAATGACATATGTGTGTAGTACCCATGTGTGCTTAGGTGCCAGAAAACTGGTATTTTCAAGTGTCAAAAGGGCCATGCACTCTACTCCACAGAACCATTATAGATCATGCTCAGCCCCTGAAGAGTGTTAGCCCACAAAGCTCTTTGAACATATGCTCGTTAAAATTCACTGACTTACATACAACCGTCCATGCAACATAAGGAGAAACTGTGCCACATGGAGTAATCCCACTGGACATGTACTCAGAGCTCACCCACAAGATTAAAATACAAAGAGATTATAAGTGCACACCCAGGCAGAGGGAAATGTCCAATCTGGGAACCTCTCTCTCAGAGCATCCAGCTGGGAGGATCTCTTGTCTTCCCCAGAAAAATAGTGGGCAGCAATGGCCACAGTGACCATTCCTTCAGGCTGTTCTTCCAAGACCTGCAGGAGAGAGTTGATTAGTTCTCTAGCTCTAAGGAGGCAGAATACTAATTGATCCCAAGGGTCTTGCCAAATACCACCTGGGAACCTGATCAGTGATACCAGCAAAGCTGGGAGCTTCCCACCTGTACTTCTATCCAGAAGTGCCATGCGGAGGCCTGAAGTCCATGGGAATAAAAGACAAAATAGTCCCCTCCTTTACTTGTGACTGGGGTGCCGTTGCCGAGAGACCACTGAGAAAGCGTAGCCCCTTTGTGGGTTCGGACATAGAAGGACATATGGCTTGGTCCTGCAGGATAAAAGGAAGAGCAGTTAAAACCACCTTCTAAAAAAGCAACAAGAAAAGCAACCCAAACCAGACTATGAAGTTCATGCTTCACTAGCAGTGAAGACGGTCAGTACAAACCTAGTGGAGGGCTTCTGGTCTGGACATTCATTATGACTCAGCAAAGGTAAGTAGTGAGGTGCAGAAAAAGCACAGCGTTCATAATAAGAACACTTGTGTTTACAGCTTGGCCCAGGCATTTAAACATACAAGAACCTACCTACCACTCAGAAGCCCATCTTCAGAAATCTAGAGAATAACTGCAAAAACTACAGCAAAAAAGCACTGATGATTTTAATGTACATTGTATTAAGACAAATATTAATGTAAAGATGGAAGACTAATGTGCAAATGCTGCCTGTAACAAACACAGAGGGAAAGGGGAAAGCAGATAAAAACTGTTGTGTTGGCTTTGCTCTTTAAAAAAGTTTCTGGCACTTAAGGTTTATATTTTTGTTTAGATTGCCTATTTAACTTTTTGCTATATGTATACCCGTTTTTGTGGTATTCTTATCAGCTTATACATCATAGAAAAAGGAATACAAATACAGCGAGTAAAACACAAGTAATTATAAATACTGTGAGACCATTGCAACTTCAAGTATTGATCATAAAAATAAATGTGAATAGACACAAGCCAGTTACTAAAAGAAAAATGTAGCTTACAAAACTAGACCTAACCACACACTGTATCCCAAGATATTCAGAAAGGGTAAAAATAAAAAACAAAGGTTATTTCAGGCAAGTGGACAGTCTTTAAAGGATAAGGAAATATTACAGATGAAATCAATGAAATAGACAATGGAACAAACAGACCTAATAATCAAAATCTGTTTTGTTTTTTTAAACTTAACAACACAACCACTCGGTAATCTGACTGGAAAAGAGGCAGGGGAAAAGAGCAGAGCAAACACAAATATACACAAAGATAAATAAGAACTGATTCATGTCAACTTATGACAGAACCACTACAATATTGTAAAGTAATTAGTGTCCAATTACAATAATTTTTTAAAGGCACCAATAATAGATTTAAACATGACACAACCAATAACCAAAAAGATAAATAAGAAAAATAAACAAGAAATTTAAAAAATCACTACATGAGTTTGAAAACCTGAATGAAATGGGTACTTTGCTAGGACAATACAGGTTATCAAGATTGAACACAGAGATAATAAAGCTAAAACAGGCCAATCTCTCTAGAAAAAGAAACCACTCTAAGAAAAAAGCACCAGGCCCATGGGGTCTCAGAGGAATTCCAGTCAGCTTTTTAACAGAACAGTTCTAATGCTCCATAAACTGCTGTAAGACATGAAAACTAAGGAAAATTTACCAACTGTTTCTGTGATCTGTAACAGTCATAGTGTGTTTACATTTATAATGTATATCTAAACTGTTAAAAACAGTACAAAAAACACCCCAAACCAGTATCATGTATAAGCACTGATTCAAAATTTATAATAACATTATTAACCAAATCCAATATCACATTAAGAAAATACATGATGACCTAATACACCAAGGGAGAAAAATCTAATGATTATTTTTGTAGATGCTAAAAGATTTTCACAAAATTAAAACCCATTCCTTATAAAAATATTCAAGGAATGGTAAGTACTGAATGCTTATTTAACATGATAAAAAAACATACACTCTTTTAGTCCTAAAGTCAATTATCTTATATAACAGGAAAACATTAGAGACTGTGGTTCTAATGTCAAGAAAAAGGCAAGAATGCTTACTATCTCCACAACTGTTCTATCCTATATTAGAAGTATAGGATATACTATTTATAGACAGATCAGAGGCGTAAGAGTTGGTAAAGAAAAACTGTATATGGTTCTTGGGCTAAAAATGGTTTTGTTGCTTTTAAAGAGTGGCTAGCAAAAAAGGAAAGAATCTATAACAGAGACATATGGCAAAGCCTACAATATTTACTATCTAGCCCTTTAAAGTTTGGCAGTTCTTGGTATACCTGGAGAACATTAGTATCAATGATTAATTTTAAAAAATTAAAGATTCAGTAAGATAGCAAGATGGATAGGGTAATTCAACATTACAGTGTCAGTTCTTAATTTATAAATTTGTAATGACCCTAACTAAAATAACTTTATATTAGAGAATACTAAAGTTCTAAATACTAAAATTATGGAACAATAGCATGCAAAGAATGACAAGGAAAACAGTGAAAACCAAAAACTACAAAGGATCTTCACTCTCCTAATCATTAAATGATTAAGCTTCTATAATTTTTTAAAAAATGTGGTAACTGGTGCACAAACAGACACATACATACCACCAATTGTCTTTTTAATGATTTCTTAAACCTTTGTAATCACAAAACACAGGTCAGTAGATGTGCAATCTGCCTGTCAGGGACCTGATTTTTATTGGAATTCTCCAAATTGTGCATAAAGAAGAGACGTTTAAATTTTTCTGTGCTTCCTTTCTACAGGCTAGCGTTTAAATAAAAACCAATTAATGGCATGAATAAGAAAACCAGTTGGTACAAAATGAATTTATTCCTAATTAAAATGTTAAAGCCTAGAAAAGGGAAGTATTCATAAGAGGTGTCAGCGAGGGCCCTTACCTCCCACAAGTGCTTCATCCCACTGCTTAACAACCAGATCTTACTGTTTCACGATGACCATCTTGTGTCCTCCAGCTTCCCCATTTACTAGATTTTCAAGTCCCCTCTGTGTCAAAACTGAATGAACTACGCCTTCACATAAATGCAGTTACTTTTCAAGTTGATAGGATGGCCACTGGTCACCAAAACATACAAAAGCCAAAGAGACTACTTGCAGAAGAGAAAGTTCAGAAGGAAGTGGGCAAAGCTGAGGGATACAGAGTCACAAAGTGACTCAGTAAGCAGAATCTTCAACAGATGGTGCTGGAACTGAATATCTGTAAGGGAAAAGGACCTTGACCTCTACCTCAAGCCATACACAGAAATTAATTCAAGGTGGATCCTAAGCCTAAATATAAAAATATAAAGCTACAAAGTTTCTAGAAGAAAACAAAGTCTATTTTCATAATGTCTGGGTAGACAGGCTTTTTTGGAGAACACATAAAGCATTAATCCTAAAAGAAAAACATGATAAGATGGAATAGAAGTCTCACCAGAAGACATTATTAAGAAAATGAATGGGCAAGAAAATCTGGTAACCTGTATCTAATAAAAGATTTTATCTAGAATGTATAAACTCCTCTTAGACAACAAGCCCAGTTTTTAAAGGAGAAAAAGACATGAGGAGAAAAAGACATGAGGAAACAAAGCAGATGAATGGCCAGTAAGCGCTTGGAAAAGTGGCCACATATTAATTTTAAGAGGAACGCGAGAGATGCTACCACTCAACACCTATAAGGAATGATCCGATGAAAAAACAAAAGGAAAACCAGCAAATTCAGGAAGAATGGAAAGCAACTGGAATTCTTGTATACTGGTGGGAAAGAAAAATGGAAACAGAATGTTTAGAAAGTTAGACATAAGTCTGTCCTATGAACCAGACAATTCCACTGCTAGATATTTATCTACGAGAGGTGGAAGACATATTCCCAAAAAGCTTTTTATAAGAATGTTTATAACAGCTTCATCCACATTAGCCCCAAACTGGAAAGAGCCCAGGTATCCATCAATAGGAGAGTGATAAGCCATGAGACAGTCTGACTTACCGACTGATACACTGACTACTAGTCTGCAATGAAAAGGAACAAAATACTGATAACTTAAAAACACCACAGCTCACTCTGAAACACATTATGCTTAACTGACCAGACACTCACTATTACATACTGGATGATTCCATGTGTATATATGAAATTCAAGAACAGCCAAATCAAATCTCTCAATGCAGAAATCAGAAAGGTACTGCTCAGGCTCAGGGGGACTAGAGTGTAAGGGAACTTTATGGGGTGATGGGGATTAAGATCTGGACATGTCAATGTATGTAAATTAGGCCTTAAATGTATCTATAGAAATATTCATTATATATTATATATTATTTATATATGAATGAATAAAAATAAGAGGGAAAGTTATGTTTGAAGATACTTTTCACTCAAAGTCCTAGACAACTTTCTGTCAACCTTTTTTAAACTCTGTAATTAAGGTACAGAGTGAACAGCACCAGAAACTTTTAAAAGTGAACTTCCTGTATTAGGATTTTCTAGACAAACAGGATATGTAGAAAATGTGAATTATTTCACAGAACTGGCTCATGTGATTGTACAGGCTGGCAAATCCAAACTCTGCAGGAGGTGCAGGAAGGCTGGAGACTCAGGGAAGAATTAGAATCCCCAGGACATGCTGGCAAAACTTCCCATCCTTGAAGGAGGCAAGTCTATTTTAAGGCTGTCAGCTGATTGAACAAAGCCCACCACGGTTTCGGAGAACAACCTGCTTTACTCAAAATTTACTGATTTAAATTAAATGTCAATCCTATCCAAAAAATACCTCCACTAGAAATACCTAACATTTTTTTTTTTCTTTTCCCCTTGTATCTGGGTACCATCTTAAAAAAAAAATTGCCAAATGTAACTCAATAGAATTGAGTGCCCATTAGGTGCTAGTAATATTTACTGGGCACAGAGACTAGAGAGAAAAATAAAAGCACATCCATGTCTGCCTCCCTTGAATGCTAGTGGAAAATCAGACATGAACTAAATAACCATGATACAAAAAGGTCAGTACTACAATAGAGATACGTACAAAAGGCACAAAATAGATAGCAGTTGCTCAGTCTGTTAGAGAACAATGAGAGAAAGGTCTGAATAATACTGACATTTTGCCAAGAGAAGAAACAGTGCCAGAGAGAGAGAGTAGCAAGAAAACATCACTCTCAGGAAGAGGGAGTGTGTGCCGATGGAAATGAGCACTTGGATGCAGCTAAGGAGTGCATAAGGGAAGTCCTGGAAAAGTTGAAATACCATAAGCCAAATTACCGAAGACCAAACATACT